GAACACACTCGGTTATAACAAACTTTGCCTACCACTCTGGCCTCCCATTGACTTTTCTTCCACTAGGCAGACGGGCCCGGAGATCATCGTAGCAAGGGTTTTTGTCAACTAACCTTAACTCCTCCATAAAAAGGTTTACAAATGTGCACAGAGCAAAAACCTCTGACCACGAAAAAATTCCACAATAGCCTCGAAACATGGAGAGAAGAGCATCAACAAAAAATCAAGTAGGGGCGGCAGTAACAACCCTCTCAGAAGAGCACATACCGCTTCGGAAAACCAGAGCATGCGGGATTCAGGGTAGAATTTGAACATTCCAAAGATCGGATTAAGAATCTCCCGCATGATCAAGAGGAAGAATTCCTACAGAAGAGAGAGGGGGGTGAGACAATAAAGGAGGGAGGATACAGGCATCGGTCATACACAAAAATTGATAAGGTTTCGATGCTTTAGAGGACGGCAAAACAAAAATTGTTTGCTTACCTTCAGGACGCCTCCATCGTCAACGGCCTCCTCACCATCGAATTCAACCTGCAAATGAGACGAGCGTAGGAAAGAGTGCTTATAAATGCGCAGTGGTATCGAAAAGTGCGCTAGTCGTGGCCGGAGGGAATGAATGAACGCCAGTAAGGGCAAATTTAAGAAATCATTGTAGGGTTGGGGATAAAGACATGGGAAGCGGGAGTATCGTCAGTCAGGACGAAGGTGGCCAGGCCAAATGGTGTACCAAACTTACGACTCTACGAGCTCAGCTATTGTGCTTTGTCGGCTATAATGACCACCCCAGAGCCCCGTGTCTTTGTGGGCATCATTTTCAGGGTAATAACTCCTCGCGATTCCGTGCCACAATCAAGGCAAGTCGCTTAAAGCAGCCACTCCCAGCTCACATTAAATGCTACCCGGTGGAGTATCAGTATCAATTTATTGAGGAAAAGATAGAGGAATGCCTTTGAGCTCCAAATTGGTAACTAGGTGCGTAAAAAAGGCATGGATAGGAAAAAGGAATGGGAAAAAATACTTTAGTACATGCCTGCAAGTGAAGAGCGAAAAGCCGGTGGAGTTGAAATAGCAATAAAATATGACCACTGGCTTAGCACGGGTAGGATAATAAGTATGTGTAGTAACCGTTCAACCTGTTGAAAGACTGGTACCACTACGAAAGTGTAGCACTTATACCCTCGAAAAACAGAAAGCGAAACAGTGCAGGAAGACATCACACAAGCTGCCGAGGAGAGAAGGCAATGTGTAATTCGTGTATCACACAGCCCTCGGGGAAGTCCCCGTGACCCAACAAATAAGCCAAAATACTCGCGGCTGCATTTTTAGCTAGCATCAGTATGGTAGACCATTCAGTATAATAGTAGAAAAAGCTGTCTATGAAAAACATACTGACCTCCCAACTTAAAAAGAAGTCCACTCGAAGAGGCGCCTAACGATAGAACGACGCACGTAATGCCAAAGGGGCTGGCAGTGCAGAAGAAGAAGATGCGATAGCTGGAACAAGAAGTTTTCTTGCCCAACGTTTAGGATTTTGGCTTGAACCCATCATCAGATATAACCGTCTACCGAATCTGGTGCAGTTGTGGACAAAACAACTACGTGGGAGAATATTCCGGACGCGAATACTCGGGGACACAGCAGACGCCAGCTCTCAGGTTGTAGCTCACTCGACTGGTCGAGGCCCTAGGTTCAAGTTCAGCGAGGCCGAAAAATCTTCCCAAGAGGTGACAACCGCGTGAGGCGCGAGCTGCTCGAGTCATGCTTCTCAGGCCAGCAGTTCATCAACAAGCGCAACGTCTTGCCTTTTTCATATTCCGTACTGAAACTATGTCTGAGCAGGTGAATCAGTCAAGTGGGAAGGGCGCGCTCAGGAACAATGCCGATGACAGTGAACCTAATTGTCGCGTAATTATCAAGCCAACATCCAACACAAATGATGCAATCGCGGCAATTATTGACTCTGAAGCGGACTGCCAAACCATCATCACAGCAATCACGAGCTATGATCACAGGAACTGCTAATTAGAGCGTGCATGCGGTCGCATGGCCGCTACGGACTATAAATACTGCGTATCCGGCGTCTCTATCACCCTCTTATGTGATTGTCTGATGATGCGTTCAAGTCATAATTAGAAATGCCAGGTAGAAAAAAACTTCTTCTTCCAGCGATCACGTTTCCTAACTCTGAACTACTGACATTGCGATTCGCAGTAGCAGTTGCATTAATACAAGACGACACAGTCGTTAGCAGTAAAAAAAAAAGAGGGCGAGGAGCGATACCTTGAGCGGACGTTTAAGGTCTGCCGGACTGCAACTAGCCAGACACTGCAGAGTCCTGGGGACGAGGTCTGTACGCGAGACCTGGAAGAGGAGGACAGGCTTGTAGGCCTCCGAAAAGATGGCAGCGAAGGGTCCAAGGTTTTCGACCTGGGCTTGTTTAATTGCCATCACCATTGTCAACTTGGCTTCCAGGGAGAGCATCTTTGACTTTGCAGCGCCATCGAAGACAAAGGGGTAGTCGAAAATAGAAAAGTCCTGTGGCGGGA